GAGCATGAGCGATATATTTTCTGAAGAATTATATTTTATGAATATTCGATATAAATGATATGTAAATTCTCCAAAAATTAAAAATATATTCTAATTGATTTTTCTATGGAGCTTATTTCTTATAAATATCATGTAGGGTAGATATTATCTTAGGGATACAATTTTTAATTCGTTAATATAAAAGATATATTTTTATATGGTTGGGAAATTATATTTTTCGAATAATTTTAATAAATATTTTATTTCATTATTCTTCATGAAATATAGAGCAGATTTTGCGAATAGGAATTATTCGGAATTTATATTGAAAATTGAAATTTCGTATATGGTATTTTAATTCAGTACTATGTTGAATATAGTAATATATTGAATTCTAATTCTTGCTTCAATTCTGCGGTATGTTGAATAGGTTATTGGGATATGAATCTCGTAATTTCTATATAGAATTGGAAACTGAAAATAAATATTAATGTCATCGGTGAAAAGATTAAGAAAAAGATGAGATGAGAAATATTTGGGATTAGGGCGCGGCTCTACATAATTAGATATATTTATCGATAGGCTCATTATTATCATATATCTAGGGTATTTGTTGATAGAATTAATTGGCCTTTTCTATTATCTAGTAAAAAGTAGTTTTCTTTCTAGATTTCAGAATTATATATTTTTTCGTGAAGAGGATTCGACTTTTAATCTTGATTCTATAAAAAGAATCATTAAATTTCATTAAATTTGAGCTCGTAATGAATTGAATCTTTTATATATATTTTTTCAAGTTTCGATCTATATAGAAACTCCTAAAATATAGAATTTAATCTGAAAGATCATATGGATGTCTTTTTAATATCTTATATTCGATAGATTCGTTTCTTTATTAATCTTATTCCTTTTTTTTGATTTATTTCATAGAAATAATTATTGAAAGATTTGCTATATATTTTTTGATTTCGGTTCTTGATAAGATTATTCAATTTATGGAGATATATAATATAATCTCAATATCTTAAATTTTAGAATTTTTTCTTCTTCAATTTCATATATTTTTTGTATGGTCAAATTTTATTATATTATTTTAAAATCTTTTTAGAGTCTTTAGATTCTTCTATTCAAACATCTTATTAAGATCTTATTAAGGTTTTATTTAGTAAATATAGAATCTCTGAAAATAAGATATTCAATCTATGAATGATTTATATATAATAAATTCGAATCAATCTTTTTGAATAGTTTTTCAGATATAATCAAAATTTATTAAGTCAATTATTAAGTTTGATAGATTTTGTAGATATATTTGACGATGGTCTCAAATCTTAAATATCTTAACTAATCTTTATTCAATGATCTTAGATTTTCCTCAAAATAAGAAACTAGATCTCTCTGTTATAATAGAAAATAGAATTGAATGGAGATTAAAACCCCGCGATTCAAGATCCTTGATCCCCGATATTCTTAATTAGAATATTTATATAGACGCTTATACAAAATATCAACCCCGAGAAGCAAATAAAATATCATCTATGATCTCAGTTTAAATTCCAGACCAATATTATAATAAATAAGGATCGCAATCAAGATACAGGAAAAGGTAAGGAATGAGTATCTTTTTTTGGCTGTCGTTATTTTTTTATTATCTATCATTCTGGAGGTGTTGTTTTTGTTATCGTTGTAGGTGTGTCCATTTTTTTATATCGTTTGTTATCGTTGCGAGGGCGCAATTTTTTTGACTATCATTATGAAGACGAATACTTTTGTTGTCGTTGCAGACCTCGGCGCGTTTTTTGTTTGCTATCGTTGTTGTTCCCGATATTTTTGTCGTTGCGGTCCCTGACGAAAATTTTTCTGATATCGTTGTGCTTCCCGGCAGATTTTTTATTATTATCGTCATGTGAGGCGGAGATGTATTTATCTAGAATTTAGAAATTTCTATTTGTCTCTAGGAAAGTCCGTAATTTCTCATATTTTCATAAGATATCTTATTTTTCTAATTATTAGATTTATTCGAATTATTGATATTAATACTATAGCTCACCTTAACTTATTGCTATTATTACTATTTTTTACTTGTAATAACTATGATCATTAGTATTACTAATATGAAAAATCTATTCTTATTATCAATATTCGTTTTTATGCATTATTAGAAATATTAATATTCTTATTAATATTTTTTATCGAATATTCATATAGAATATTCATATTAATCTTATTATTTATTATGATTATCATTTTTAGAATTCTTTTTATTAATGCTAGTATTGATATTATTGCTGCTATTATTATTCTTGTAAAAATATTGAGATAAAAAATATTTTGAAATATTAGTATTAGTTCTTGAATTATTTAATATTATTATATCATTATTAATATTGTTCTTCTTATTTGGATTCCTCATATCAATATTATATAATATTATTATTTCTACTACTATCATTAATAATTATTATTATCATTAATATTATTACTACTAATATTATTAATATCATTAAAATTATTGTCATGTCTATTTCTAAACTTGTTTTTGCAATTGCTGCTTTGTGTTGTTGTGCTCAGCAGCTGAAGCCCCGGCAAACCAGCAAGTGAGTGAGCTGTCGCTGGAGACCCAAATAACAAAAAAAATACTGGCAGGATATTTGTTTTTGCTGTTGCTGCCCGGGGGGTGTTGTTGATTTTACTGTTGTTGTGGGGAAGTGTTTTTTCTTGTTGTTACGGGGGCGTGTATTTATTTTACTGTTGTTGCCGGAGGGATATATTTTTTTTTGATGTTGCTACAGGGGTGCATTTTGTTGCTTCTGTTGCCGGGGGGGCGCTTTTTTTGCTGTTGCTACGGGGGAGTGTTGTTTTGCTGTTGCTGCGGGGGTGATTGCCTTGCTGTTGTTGGTTTTGTGCTGTTGCTATCGGAGAGGGGTATTTATTTTTTTGCTGCTGCTGCGGTGGGACGCGTTTACTTGTTGTTGCTGTTCTTTTGCTGTTGGTGCGAGGGACTATTTTTTTTATATTGCTATCGGGAAAGATATTTATTTAATTTTTATATATTGATTTTGGATTGATGCTACGCTTTTTTTATTTGTTGTTGTTGCTACGGTGGGAGTGATCTCTCTATTATTATTATTTGGAATTTGAGGATATTAGGACATTTTTGGATTTTTTATATTATTGTGAGGCAATTCCTCCATTATAAATCTCGTGAATATATATATATATAAAACGGATTCTGAGGTCCCATATGGAATCTATTTCTACTACCAAGATAATAATTATCGTCTTCATTTGCAAATCCAATATTTATCTCTATTAGATATTCTGAAATATCAATTCGATTCTTTTTTGGACGGAAAAAATAAAAATTTGCACGAATTATTTGCGCGATATATAGATTCTAAAAAGATGAGGCACCTGCCCCTATATTTGTAGATAGAATAAAGAGATTTATTTTCACATCATTCTTTTTATCGAGAAGAATCTTATTTTTAGATATGTCATATTCTTGATTGCTCTTATAATAAAATAATATTTGACTGTCAATTTTAGATTGATTTCGCTTTCTATTTTCCTAACTTTTCCTGAAGAAAATAAAAATTATTTTAATTTCGATCCTTAGGAATAAGATCATCAACGTCATCGTGGACGTGAATGTTGTTATTTCGTTAAAGTTGGGGAGTTAAAGAATAACGTGGCGACTGGTCGAAATCCTAAATAATACCATAAAATATATCTAAAATCTAAATTCTGTATCTGTATATCTAATCTCCTAAGTCTTGAGATATATATAGAAGAAGAAAGAATTTTTGTTATTCGTGTGCAAGAATGTTTCTTTTTATATTTATTGCTACGAGAAGTGATTTATTATTATCAAAAAACAGAGATTATTTTTGCATAATGTTAATAAAAAACGAAAAGATTTTCAGGAGTCGTTTCTTAATTTTCAATTTGCCGAAGTTTCAATTTTAGAGTCAACAGAAATAGAAGAAAGATTATTTTTATTTCGTTGCTAATACAAGAGGAATATTTTCTTTATTACTTAGATCTCTTCTTAAATTTTCTTATTTATCTATCGATTTTTCAATTATAGAATATTTAATACGAGAATTATTATTTGTTATTTTTTTAGTAATTACTATCGAGAAATTACCGGCGATTCTTTTATCTAATAACTACTCGATATTCAAAAAAGAAACAGAAATCTTAAGCTTAAACATTTAAGACTAAAAAGAAAAAAATCGAATCTATATTTCAGACTTTAATTTAAAATTAAGATTTTTCAGAAAAAATAGAATTTAAAATTTCAAATTTATAAAATTCCAAAATTATAGAGCATAAATTTTTTATATATAAGAATAGAAATCAGAATATATCAAATTTTCAATTAAAATATAAATTATTATATCTTTTAAAACATAAATCACAGCCGAATCAAAAAGAAATTATTAGAAAAATTCGAAATAGAAATCTCTATCAAAATATTTATTATTCCAGATTTTTTTCAGAATAATCTATCAAATAATATATGGCCATCTCGAATATTCATGTTCATTTTCTTTCCACAGTATTTCAAGAATATAGCATAGCATATTGGGCAGCCTCTAATATTAGGAGTCTCGACCCGGATATCCCAACAGGGGGCTTGGCTCAAAAATGCCCAGAAGTATGAGTAACACACAGGCTCGTACTCCAAGCATCATGAGCATTAGCTGTGCCAATCAGTGGACACGAAAGACAAGGATCATGAGCAGCCACACAAAGTACTGCAAGCAGGCCATGAGCCACGCAGGACCACCCCTGCGAAGCATGATTCGGATCCACACGTCCAGCTTCGCCTCATGACATCATGAGCATCAGCCGCACTAATGCTCATGCTGACACACCACCGCGCAACTTCGCTCCGACACCATACCCGCACCTCGACACCACCAGGCAATACACACCCCCAGATCGCCGTAAAGCGCACAGGATCTGAGGGGTTCCCGCACACAGCGCCAAAGGAAATTTCCATAACTCAATGTTCACACGTGCCCTGACGCACTTGGAAGTTGCTCTTCCAGAACAGTTTGCTCCTCAGCTGCAGGCTGTGGCTCATGCGAATGAACTGAATCAGACGTCATTCACGGGAAATGTGAGAACAGACAAACTCCTGGTGTTGCAAGCAAGACTCTGGCACAATATCTGGGATCTCATCAGGCACGCGATACTTTAGCTCTTGAGAGCAGCCTTGCGATGGCCTGACGAGTGTTCATGAACTCGTATTTCCGGCCGACAGAACTAACAGAATGTGCCGCATGCTCTCTTTCATGCCAGCCTGTCCCTTGAGTGCCTGAGTCATGTTATGTCCTCATACTCCTCGTTGATGCGTCCAGACACCGAAAGCAGCTCTCAAATACGTGCAGCCAAGTTGCAGCTGCATGTACACAACCTGAAGCTCGTCGGGTATGTGGTAGTCACGCAAATCCTTAGGATACAGCGACAAACGCTGAATTCCATGCAGGACCTGAAGATGGGCAGATTTCCCATTGTGTCTTGAGATCCCGGCTCTTTCAAAGTGGGTCAACTTTCCATAGTTCTGGCCGGATAGAAAAGCCACCGCAAATCCGGACTCCTTCAGAGAATCTTTCTTCTAAGACATGGTCAAAGCTTCCGCCAATCCAACTAGTCGCACAGGCCAGCAGCCTGTGGACTTATAACCCCAGCAGCCAACACGTCATGCGAGCGGGCTGTGTATTTGAGATTCCACCACCGGCCCTCAAACATTGTGGCATGATTAACTACAGCATCCTGCAACCGTCGTCTGACGCTCGCGAGCAAGTATCTCAATTTCCCCGTGCATCCCTCGGCAGCCACAGTTGTCTACCTCTTGACCCAGATCCGAAACTCACTCTTCCCCGGGGTTGCTAGCACACGTGTGAGATCTGACGCGCGAATGTGATCCTGTAGTGTGCAGCGTAACAGAAGCTGTTGTGACCTTCCCGCCTCCAGTTTTCGAACAGCCCGCAAGTACAGGCTGTGCTTCTCTTGGTGCCTGACCTCAACAAAGTCGGACAATGCTTTGGCAAGACCGACAAAGTCTCGGAGCCTTGTGGAATTTCACAGCCACCTGCCAGGCATGGGCTGCAAGTGTCATGCACTGGTCTCATACATGTTGACTGATATGGAATCCCGGAGCACCCGCGTAATTGTTCAAAGCTGACAGGTGACTGCGGACGCCTGACGAAACTTCTGCAGCGTGGATACGGGCTCCTCTGCAAACACCTGGAGGACATCACGACAGCTGTGCTCCGAGCATGTGTCTTGCCCTCACCTTCGTGCAACCAGCATCCTTATCATGCCGACTTCCAGAATTGAATGCACAAGTCCTACCCCACCTGCCGTGCCTGTGACCACTGAGCGCCGTTCAAATCTATAACCTATAACCTCTTATGCAACTGTTGCCTTGCTTTGTTGCAAGTGCGATCTTCGGCTGGCTTAGCAGCCAAATCTCACAGCTGCTTGCGTCTCGTATCGTCTCGTACACAACTGTCATGGCGCTCGAGCCTCCCACTCATTGCCGTTAGCATCAAGCTTTAGAAGTAGACTTCCGTCCTTGCAGGAGTGGATCAGATTGCAAAAATGAAGCGGAGGGTCAGCAACCGGATATGCCAGCTTCTGTCAGGCTTGAAAACACTACGGCCTCGTCTGGGGCATCTGAGCATCCTCTATGGCACAACACTTGAACTTTCGCCCGCATGGTCCGGCGATGATCGCAAACTGCACAGCACATTCGGTCTGTCTTCCGCAAAGGGGGTAGATTCAATCACCAAGTTCAATAATCTGCCGGAACCAGCCCAGTCCTCTGTGTGGGCGTTGTCCCGCAAGTTCCTGAGTCTGAGAGGCTGCTGCAGGTCTAACAACTTAAAATCTTAGTGCCGTGGCGATGCAGGAGAGTGACGAGACAGCCAAGTCGGATCGCATAGGAACAGACGGCTAGGCCCTAAGCCCACAGCAAGCGCTGAGCTTGCATTCCGCCACATGGGCGTCGATAAGCTTTTTTGCCAGCTCTCAGCTCCCCGAGCGGTCGAGCCTGAATTTCGCCACGTTATCTCCTGGCCTCCACTCACGTTTTCATGAGTCAGAGGCCAACCCGTAAGACTTGCCAGAAGTCTGCCCACCAAAAAACACTGGACCGAAAAAAACATGTGCTCTGAACACTTTGCTCTACTGACCGGCTTCGGCAGCTTCTTCCATGGTAGACACTAGAGGAGTCGGTAAAGCCGCTCACCCTCAAGGCGGAAGCTCTGCAGAACGCGTGGCGAGCCCATGAGGCTGCTGACATCCTCCACTGCGAGCCCGTTCTGCTCAAGGGCACGGACAGCCTCCGAAATCTCGAGGAAGACTTCTGCCAGCTCCACATCCTTGGACGGCCGGCTAAGCTGAAGCTGGATCACCTTCTTTTTGAAGAGCTTTTCCAAGAGTGCACACACTTGGTCGCCCAGTGGTCCACTGTTTAGGTATCGCCGGAACTTTTTACGGATCTCCTCTGCGACCTGGTGCTTTTGACTCTGGATGAAGGACTCCAGCATCACTGCAATTGCATTGTCAATGTCTTTTGAAGTCACATGCTGCCGGAGTTCAATGCGAGCATTGGCCTCTGCCAACCGGATGAGCGAGTCCATGTGCCGCGCGGTCATCGGCACACCACCAGTGCGGGCTGCTTCTCCCCTCAGTTCGGAATAGAAGGCCGCGAGTTTCTCGGCATCGACGTCACCCATCTTGGGCGAGAGCTGACGGGCGTGGACAATGAACTTTTTGAGAAGATCTTGACTGATTGGCTGGGCATGCAGCTGCTGATGCTGCAGCCTTGGCTTTTTGTTCTTCTCCTCCGTGGTTGCATCGGGATGCGAACGGATGTG